TGGGCATGAAACAAAGTGACTTGAACAGCTCATAATCCAGATGTGGCTCTAGAGCTACAAAAGTTTATCCTCCTAGGGAAATAACTTTAAGAATTATTTTATTTCCTCACATTTATTAGCATTCCAGTCTGCCATACAGTGTTTGTTGCTTCTGCATTCCTCCTAGTGCAATTTCTGGAATCAACTTCACTGCTCCCCTTTCTGTCCGCGTTTGAAACTGGTTTCAACCAGCCATGGTCAAACCACACCCCATATGACTGCAAACCATGGAATATGCAACTGCATAAAGGCCTCTTGCTAAAGAAGTGGTTTCTAATATGGTTGCTGGTTGATTGTTTGTCTGAAAAATCCCTATCCACAAGAGACAGTGAAACAGTGCTGAAAGGCGGGCTAGTTCCAAAAACGTTAGGCGGTGGTTGTGCAGACTTCTGGACAGTGTAGCTCTGTCGACAGATGCCATCCCCGACCAAAGGAGCAATGCAGCAGCTCCTACAGCATCCTCCAAAGGACACAGCCCCTTTACCAGTTTCAGAGACTGAAGGGAGTAATTTTAAGATACCAATACATCCTGACATGCCTATATTTTATCCTGTCAGAGGAGTAATCCAACTGAGGTCGAGTAAAGCTTTCTCACTGTATTGACTTCCTTACAGAAGCTAAGATCACATTCAGTTCAGGCTAACAGGGCTCTGGTTTCCCAAAGAATGTGGGAAGGCAGGGGGGAAACGATCAGGAAAGACAAGATAATAAGTCAATCTTTGGAACTCAAGTAAAGTCATACCCTTAGCTTAACAGGCTCATTCTAGAGTTGCAGCCAGTGAGTACTCAGGGTTTGAAACTGGAGCAGACAAGCTTGGGAGCCCGCCATTGCTAGATGTCCCCAAGTCAACTTAGTACAAGAGAGAAATCCACTTCCTTACATTCCTTCATAAATGCTTTGCCTGCCCTTTGCTGAGCACTTGGGCCTCACCTGCTCAGAAATCCTTTTGGACTTTCCTTTACACTCATGGACATGTATCCAGGCCAAAGGCCTCTTCTTCCTTTAGCACTGCTGACAGCCTCCCTGCATCTGTCATCAAAAAGCAAGACTCATTACAAGTCATCATGTACCATAGGCCCAGGGCTCTCTCCCATTTGTTCAACAGTTCAACCACTGGACAACCCTTCTTTCCAGCTAGTTGCACAAAACCCTTTCACACCTTGGCAGAATCCCTCCGAAGGATCTCTCCTTTCTTGTATGCTGTTCTGTACATGGAGTATCTCTTGAGCTAGTCCACTCACCAACCACAGCTGAACTAATCACACGTGGAGGCATGAGTGTGTGTCAGGGCAGGGAACATAACTGCCTACCAGTGACAAAAGGCCAGCTATTGAGTGCTGAAAAGCTTGAGTGAGGAATGCATGTTTGGAGAACAAGTGGCAGGAGTCATCCAGCCACACAGCCAGGAAAAAAACACCAACTCCTATCCTCACAATTTGGGAAACTGCAGTATTTGTCAACTGCTTTGTCAGATAGGAATAGCCACTGTTTCTTTGTGGCTGTGTTGCTAAGAGTCAGCTCTCACCAACTGAGACTGGGCAAAGGGACACACAGTACCTTAGAAAATGGGTAACTTCATTAATCTGGCTCAACTCAAATCCAGCAGGGAAAAAAAAAAAAAAAAAAAGGAAGCTTTGTGCAGAGTATTTGATTAGACCACGGTAAGCGCAGGAGAAGGGTAAAGGGCAATAGGTGTCCCTTTGCCTACAGCCAGCATAAGGCAGTAAGTTGTAGGGTCTAAAGTCATTCGTCTAAACCTCTTCAAGATGGCTAAAGCACTACAGTTTGGTCACTGCATGTTGGAGTCAATCAGCTCTTTTTCCTCTCAGTTCTTCTACCATGCCTGAGGCTTGGGCTACTTTAAGGTAAATGAACTTAAGGTTTCATTTGTGTACCTGTTCAAGCATGGCTTGAGGCTTAAAAGCCTCACTCAAGGCTACAGTACAGGACAAGCTATGCAAACTACAGAGAACACATGAAAGGAAATTGCTGCTTTTAATAAAATTATGTCAGGCTTGCTTTAATGTGATGAATTTTCTGACAGTTGGAGCCTTTAAATTAAGACCTGTCAATAAAATGTGCTCTAGCTCAGCTGGGACACCCCAGGTGAGTGTAGCAGTGCCTGGGAGGCATTCCCTGGCTTGTGCTGAACAGGTCATATTAAACACTCCCTTCTGGATTTGGGGGAAAAGGAGGAAAGGGAAAAATACTTATGCAGCAGGTATCTACTGAAAAATCTGTATGTCTTAGGAGTAAAAAGTGATTCCCACTGCAATATTTTTCAAAAACCATGAGAATTCAACTCAAACACTTCAATTTTTGAACAGACATACCCTACTTTTTATTCCAGGAGGTCAATGCACGAGGAACACACTTTTGTCACAGATATCATGAAAAAAAGACTATTTATAAATACGTTTTATCTCAGAGTTAATAAACACAAAGCTCTAAATAAAATGGGTGATTACCTGCCAATCTAACAGGACTCTGTGCTGGGATTGCAAGGCAAATAAAAAAAATAAAAACAGCACAGAGGAACATCCTTACTGATACCCCAACAACAGAAATAAGACCTCCCCAAATCCTGACCACAGTTCCCGACATTCTATTCTCTTCATCTCTGTAATTACCCTCAAAGAACACAAGCTTCTCACCACAGGACTAGTCTGTTTCCATATAGTATGACCTAAGTTAAAAAAAAAAAAATCTTTATCAGTGGAGAAAAGGGATTTTGGTCTAAGGGATACAGTATCAAGGTACACCTATGGGCCAGGTGAACTTAGCAGCACTCAGTTAAACTGAATTTAGCTGACCTCCCTATTGGAAAGGGTAAATGTTGGGAGCAGGACTGCCAGTTGCCAGTATAGATTCTGAGGCAATTTGCCAGAATGAGTAAGAGCTTTTAAAGTAGGGCACTACAAGATCTCATGGCTACACACATGGAGTCCAGTATTTAAGCACTGCATTGAATTTCAAGAGGATCTCAAAGAAGCCTAAAGGATTTGAGTGTAAGAAGATTCACTGCTTGGAAGCTTAAGGGAACAGACAGGAGATGTTGCTGAGAAGGTGGCAGGCAGATGTGAAGCTCCTGCCAAAAAGAAGAGAGCGGGAACAGTGTGAGCCTTTAAACTGCCAGGAGATGCATCAACTTTTACCACTAACCACCCCAAAGACCACAAGGTAAAAGTGGTGTTGCTGGTTCCATCCACCATGAAAAGTCAACAGAGGTTTAAAGACCCCACTTTGACTCCAAGGCCCCTCCCAACTCTGCCCCAGTGCATGGTCCTGCCAGCCTCATCCCTTTGTTCCTCCTGGCCTGTATGGAGAGTCCCATGCTCTCCAGGACACATTCTGCAAGGGCACATCCCCACCTTCCCCCTGGAGAACTTCTCAAAACCTTCATCCTGTAAGAGACGAAAGACAGATGCAGGAGATGGTAAACCACCATTTCTCAGACAAGTCAGTCAGTACTGTGTTGAAATGGAGCAGGAGAGCACTCCTGTGAGAGCAAGCCAGAGAAAGACCAACACAACATGGGTCTGTCAACCAGCAGTGGCAGCGGTCTTGCTTTGCATAGAAAAAAAATAGTGTTGTGGGCACAACTCTTAATACATTTAAACTCATGGCAATGTGTAAAGAGTTGTATTGTTTTTCTCCTTCCAAGGTAAGGAGGCAAATGTTTGACAGACACTGTAGTATTTGGCAGAAAACTGCTTTTCACAACAGAAAAGCTTTTGCTCTGAAACAGGATAGAGTTGTGTTTCACAGAAAGATTCATCCCATCTCACCCTTCATACGTCCCCTATGACCTCCTTGCACTTTCTTTATCTGGATGGATAGTTTGAGAATATGCAATCACAAATCGACTAACTGTTGATCTGTGAGACATCACAGTGCCCCATTATGTGACAGGCCACATGTAGAGCCTGAAGCATTAGGCTGATATTCTTTCTGGTGAGGATTCCACTGCGTCTACCTACAGACAACACAAATCTGGCAGTCAGCGCCCAAGGGAGGTCAGGGCTGTGCTCTGTACAATCACTAGAAGAGAAATCTAGTTACAGACACACCTGCATGAGCTTTACGCTCATTGCAAAGCTTGAGGAGCTAATGCACTGTCCTGAAGCAGGACAAGAGATCAATATATAAGGTATACAAGCTTCTTGTTGGATTAATGATCTTGTTTACAACCTGACAGAAAATAAACACAGTAAGTTATAGCACAAGCTGTGCCTGGAGAAGTCTGATCTTTCCAGGACCCATGTGCAAAAGTGCTGAAAGTGACAGCCAAATTCCAACCACAGATGTGTGTGCACACATTTTGCCAGAAGACAGAGAAAAAAAAATAGCCTAGAGAAACATGCAGTTCTTGTTTATCTAGGAGTAAAAGTTAGCTTGGGAGGTCATCTAGAGAGAACCTTGCTACTGTGAACCCCCAGACATCTGTCAACTTTGGCACTCAGTGGAGCAAAACCACCCCATCCAGCCAACAGGAGCCATGTCAGGCCCTGCACAGGTGGCAAAAAACCACTGGGCACTTGCAACTCATGCTCTGGCATTTCCCCCAGCAGAGTTGGGGGTTTGCAATGTTGAAAGCCCTCCCCAGCCCAAATCCTGACAATCTGCTAAATCTATCTGGTCATTTCAGGTGAAGGTAGGAGGCTGCATTTTAGGTGTTCAAAGGTTAAGCCAGCACCTGGCCACATGGAACTATGCATGCCATAATGATGCCTTCAGTCAATAACTAACTCAATGAAACTTCATTATTTTATATCAGCTGACAATCTGATCTAAATATGAAAATACTAAAGGTTCTTCCTTTTCTCCATCCCCCTCCCATCTCTTTCCTTTTCCCCCCACCTTCCCACTGCCCTCCCAGCGAGGCGTAAAAATGGAACTCAATCCCTCTCATGACCCCTTCCCAGGAAATGTGCCTTCCTTCAGTAAGTACAAACTCTACCTTGGTTGAGGTAGGTCAGAGTTTCTTCATGCAGTTTCACAGCAGGTGATGTAGCTGTGCAGAGAACATACTGAAAGGGAGGCAGTTTGGCTTCATTCTCAGGAGACAACTGCGGTTCTTCCTGTTTGAAGATCGGCAGCGCAAGGACATCACTGAAACACAAAATTCAAACACATTTAATTACAAAGACTTTATGGAATAATCTATTTCCAATCTGGACTAGATTCGCCTGATCTGAAATAATGGAGATGCTCTCTCTGCAGAGAGCAAGTTATTACAGCTGAAAAAAGAATTTAGGCTTATAATGAAGTAAGGCAATTTCTGCATCTGGAACACAAAAGAACACCAGCATTAACAAAACAGAACATTGTTGAGAATTAGTATGTTTTAAAAACAACAATAAAAAAACACCCTTGAGTGTCCTTGAGTTTTTGGACAAAAATACAATAAAAAAAACACCCTACCAAAAATATATTCTCCTTCCTTGTGGTAACCCATTTCTTCAAGTGTCCTTGAGTTTTTGGACAAAAATAAATCTCCAGAAACAGCAAAAGTAGGCATTCCATTTTGGCACCTGAATGTCAAATTAGCTAAAGGTCTGTGATTAGCAGCAAACAGCAGACACAGCCCTGGTGTAAATAAGGGACACTCTGGTGCATCAGGGCATGAACTGATGAATTACTTGACTCAAACTCCCCTTGCACCATAACAAATATGGTCCCAAGTAATCAATCGTACAATTCTTAATATGACATCAGAATACCTTCATATATTTCAATAACTCCATAAACACAAAGAGAACTGATCATTCACTTGGTGGTGCACATAGTCTCAACTGACCTCCTTCACCATGCTTTAATATTGACCAGCTGACATATAGTTATATATGTCAACTCATACTTATCATCAAACAGAACAAATATTACCATGACTGAGTGCACAAGGGAAAAAAAAACATGTTAGGAATAAGCATCCTTATCTTAATACATCTGATGCTTAAAAACCAGATTAGCGTTTCTGATGTCTCTTAACCCTTCTAGTCTTGTGTCCCTTTACTTGAAGTGTTAATATCTTTCCAAGGTAGAGCGATTACACAGAACACAAAAACTGTTCAGAATAAATAAGTAGAGATTTCTTTTTCTTCTCCATTTCTTCCAGCTACATGAAGACACTTGACATTCATGTTACAGAGACTGCAGTTTTGCTCCTTTCAGTCATCCCATTCACACAAAAGCTATCTAGGAACATGCCAGTGTGAACTGGCATGCTCCCTATGAAAGGGCACAAAGATTTTTGACTTGCCCATTCAGTTAATGATCTACTCAGTGTTCATGTGCAACACCCACAACCTTGAAGACTACCCAGGTAACCAGCAAAACAGCGCAGTAGTTTACAGTAAACTCTTAGAAGGGCCTTGTTCAAACACAGATACTGCTATTTATGGAGAAATAAAAGCAGGGAGCAATCCATGCCACTTTGAATAGGGGCAGGAGAAAAGAAACACCCATCCCCGTTTCCGTGCTCTCTTCCAACCACACCCCCCACCACCAACTTGGAGGCACCCAGCCCCATTTGCTTACTGGCACTACTGACATAATCGTAGCTCTTGCCTAACTGCAGCCCTAGCGTGTCCCCCCACCCGCCTTAGGGATGGTGATTTATTACAATAATTAACTGACAAAAAGGCCTCCAGTGGTTTTCTAAAATAGATATAATTTCTCTGCACACACACACGCACACAGGACTAATAGTGCTCCACAGAATCATCTCACTCACCCCAATGCCAACATTTGTTCTCAACTCATTCATCTGCACAGTGCTATGAGAATGGCATGTTGTTTTATGGAAGAAAAAAAA